CCTCTCTCTCTCTCTCTCTCTCTCTCTCTCGCGTCGCGGCTGGCCTCATGACCAAATTGAATGAATCTGGCGCTATAGTGTGGGAATATACACTGCCATACTCGTTTGTTTTTTTTTTTGTGTGTGTGTGTGTGTGTGTGTGAGAGAGAGAGAGAGAGAGAGAGAGAGAGGGCCGGCGAGTTTGCCGCGACCCTCCGTGCAGGTCGCTGCCTCTCTCTCTCTCTCTCTCTCTCTCTCTCTCTCTCTCTCTCTCTCTCTCGTCGCGGCTGGCCTCTCGGTACTGCGCCCTCCATAGGATGAGCAAAATCGAATGAATCTGGTGCTATAGCGTGGGACTATACACTGCCATACTTTTTTTCGTTTTTTTTTTTCCGTTTTTTTCGTTCGTTTCACTCCGACGTTCGGGATGCCTGCGCCCGGTAGTCCGAGCCTCGGCACGGATCGGCGTACCGGTCGGCCGAGGCTCGGACTCGATAGGTGGGCCAGGTACTGGTGGTTTAACGCTTTGCTCTTTGACAACAAGATGTCCGTTGATCCTCATAATCTCGGTGACTGCCAGCTTTGTTCGTACTGTGGCGCCAAACTCTGGCCCCACGAGTTGAAGTGGTCAACCATGTGCTGTAGGCATGGTAAAATGATGTGTGAACTCTGGAAGATGCCTTCCGAGGGAAGGCCTGAACATTCCATTCTTTCTCTATGGACTGATGACACACCTGAGGCTCGGTTGCTCTGATCCAAGTCCAGGAAATTTAACAACGCGCTGTGCCTTGCTTCTTTCTGCTCATGTTAGACAGCCAGAGCAGGGCCTCCGAGGGTATCAGGGCCAACTCAAAATACAGGGCCCTCTCTATCACAGGCTAGGCTCCCTTAGGCCTCCGCCATCGGTGCGCCCCTCGTATGCACAGTTGTATATTCATGACCCTTCGGAGGTGGACACCGTAACAAATGCTCGCATGGAATTGATGCACCTCCCTCAAGGGGTGTCCGCTTCGGAGCGCCAGCTGACGAGAGCGATGATCGAACAACTGCAGCTTCTTCTGCGTCAGTGCCACCCATATGTGAAGGACTTTATTACATACGCAGACATGGATGAGAATGTCAGGGAGAACATTAAGATTGTTATTAACCCTCATGCGCGCCCCGAAGGGACACATGAGCGTGGATACAACAGATCGGAAAATTTCGAGGAGGTCTGCATCCTCCTTGCTGATAGTTTACAGCTCGATGAGGTCCAGGTGCGTTAGAGACCCGATCGTAACTCGCCCTTCCCTTTCGAAAATTTCAAGGATGACAATAGAGCCTATGACCCTCTTCACTACGTGCTCTTCTTTCCCAGAGGAGAGGATGGTTGGTGTAAACAACCGGACACTTCCAGGGGCAATCCAACTAAGATCACGCATTCCATCTGCATGAACGGGTGTGTGAACGCATCACTCTTCTTTGTGGCGCAAGACTCTTCCAAGAATATTGAACGGGTGTGTGAACGCATCACTCTTCTTTGTGGCGCAAGACTCTTCCAAGAATATTGTTGCATGGCTTTCACTAAGATAGAATCCCGCAGGCTAAGTTACTTGGAAAAGAACCAAAACAAACTGCGGGCGGATTGTTATAAGGAGCTTCGCAGAACTGTGGCAAGCAATGAACACGGCAGTGGCATCGCCACTTAAGTCATGTTGCCGTCCACGTTCACTGGCGGGCCCCGCTATATGACCGAGAAATACTATGACGCGATGGCTGTTGTGCAGAAGTTCGGTAAGCCGGACCTCTTCATTACTGTGACCTGCAATACTAACTGGCCAGAAATTAAAGACGCACTGTTTCCTGGCCAGTCAGCTTCTGACAGACCTGACTTATTGGCAAGGGTCTTCAAAGGCCACCTTGACCAGTTGATTTACGAAATTAAAGACAAACATATCTTTGGGAAACCAGCTGCTTTGTTTTACACAGTAGAGTTCCAGAAGTGTGGCCTCCCGCATGCCCACATACTGCTTATCCTTCACCGGTCTGATAAAATCACAACTCCGGCAGGTGTTGATCAGTTCATGTCTGCAGAGATTCCTTCCGAGGGACTCCTGCGAGACAAAGTCTCCAAGTTCATGATACACAACATTTGTGGCGCACAGAAGCCGTCTGCAGTTTGCACGAAGAACGGTCGGTGTACTAAACATTTCCCCAAGCCATTTGCTGAACGCACTGCGTTTCAACAACAACAAGGTTATCCTGTGTATAGACAACGAGGTCCAGAATCAGGCGGCTGTTCCTTATGTGATGATAGCATAACGTATGACAACGGTCGCGTTGTGCCTTATAACGCATATCTCCTGCTCCGTTTCAACTGCCACATTAACGCTCAGTACTGTGCTAATATACTCGCCTGCAAATATCTGTATAAATATGTGCTTAAAGGCTCTGATCGAGCTATGGCTGCCGAGCTGGCACCACAGCAAAACCAAAAAGTACCGTGATATGCGGTGTGTCGGTGCGAGTGAGGCTTGCTGGCTTATATTTGAATTCCCGATAACACGGTAATGGCCCCCGGTCGAGCGGCTCTCTGTTCACCTCCAAGGCGAGGAGCCCGTTTGTTTCGAAGAGGGAAACAAAGTTGAGGCAGCAGAAAATGGTCCTCCGCGTGCGAAGTTGACTGCGTGGATGGATTTAAATAGGGAATTGAGAACATGTAATGAGAGCCGTTATCCTCCGTACGCAAACATTACCGATACGCATACGTGGCACCGAAAACCGAAAATTTGGAAGCCTCGGATAAAATCAGGGAAGGCGGGCACATTTTCAAAAATCTGCAGGTTGCGCACAGTGTCCATTGCTGAAGGGGATTTGTCCTACCTCCGCATTCTCCTACGCCACAAACGTTCTCTTGGAGCAGCTTCATTTGAAGAGCTGAAAACAGTTGACAACCTTACGTACTAGACGTTTCGTGAGGTCTGCCAGCATTTGCAGCTTCTGCACGATGACAAAGAGTACGGCGCAGACATGAGAACTGCTGCAAACAACTACATGCCTTCCCAAATCCGTCAGGTCTGTGCCATGCTTTTCGCATATGGTCCCCTTGCTGATCCTATGTCTCTCTTTTTTAAGTATCGGGAACCTATGTCTGAAGACTATGTGAGAAGACTCCCTAATTTCACACTCTCTCCTGCTGTCTTTCAAGCACTTGCACTTCTTGACATAGATGCTGAGCTCGTGGATATGAAAACAGACATGTCCACTGTTGGTTTGTCCTTCCCAGACATGCACGCTTTGCAGTGTGCTAAACAGCTCCGGAGTCGCCTCCTGTTCCAGGGGCTGCCAGAACTGATCCAAGAAGAGTCGGCGTATGACAGGGACCAACTCAACCATGTCTGGGAAACCAATGTACCTATGTTGCACCCCTCCCAGCGGGTGCTCGTGCAGGGGGTTGTTGATGCTGTCCTCAAAAGGACTCCTCTTTGTGTTTTCGTTGACGCACCTGTTGGCACGGGTAAAACATTTTGTATTAACACGATTCTTTCCGGTGTTCGCCGTCATGAGGGCTGCATTGCTCTTGCAGTCGCTTCAAGTGGTATTGCGTCGCTGCTCTTGCCTGGAGGCCGAACATTTCACTCCAGATTCCGTGCGCCGTTGACACCCGATGATAAAAAACCATTCGCAATTCCAAAGCAAAGCGAATTGGCAACTCTTATTAGGCGAGCACAACTTATAGTGTGGGACGAGGCACCCATGACACATAGATTTCATTTGGAGGCCCTAGACATTACATTGCGTGATCTGTGCGACTCTGACCTCCCTTTCGGGGGCAAGGTTGTCCTCTTGGCAGGTGATTTCAGGCAGGTCCTCCCTGTTGTCAAACGTGGTAGTCGCGCTCAACAAATCAATGCTTGCATTAAGTCGTCCCACCTTTGGCAGTACTTCCATAATCACAAACTCGACGAGAACATGAAAGTCCTCCGTCGTGGCAATGACGTGGTGGCATTCGCTGATTTCCTTCTTCGGTTAGGTAATGGGCAACACGACGTGGTTGACCCGAGTGATCCTGAGATTATTGAGCTCCCGCGGGAGATCTGTACAGATGCACCTGTGGTGGATCTCATTCGCTGGACTTTCCCAGATTTAGTTGAGCATTTGGGTGACATGGACTACCTCTCTGGACGCTTAATACTGCCCCCGGAATGATGGTGCCAACTATGTAAATGACCTGATTCTTGACTCTATACCAGGGCACACCACTGTGTTGCAGTCCGTTGACAGTACGCCATCCGACTCTGCTGGTCTGGATGTGCCTCTTGAATACCTGAACGGCTTGGAACCCTCAGGACTTCCGTCTCATAGGCTCAAGGTTAAAAAGGGTATACCTATTATGTTGCTCCGCAACATATCTGCAAGAATGGGCATGTGCAATGGCACCTGCCTCATTGTAAACAAAATAGTGAATAACAGGTTGATTGAGGCTACAATCCTTCCCAACAAAAAAACTGCAGTCATTCCGTGACTTAACCTCACAGCGGATGAATCGGCTGGATTCATATGGCAACGCCGTCCCGGTCAAGGTTGCTTTTGGCATAACAATTAACAAGTCCCAAGGACAAACAGTTTCGAGAGCTGGCGTCTGGCTGCCTGTCTTTGGCCACGGCTAGCTCTATGTTGCATTGTCGCGTGTTGGGCACCCTGATGACATCAGGGTTGCATTGCCTGATGCTTCAATGAGAACAAAGAACATTGTGTACAAGGAGTTGCTCGCATAATGTTGTGTGCTTGCTTTAAGCTCTCCTCACGTTTCACACTGTCCTTTTATGTGGTCCACGTTACCAACATTCGTTCTGCTATCTGTTGTTCTCCTGTTTGCTATGTCCTCCAGGAATGCGCATCGACCATTGCACTCCGATCTCCCTACCAACAGCATACACCGCTGTCATGAAGGACCGCGCCCCACTGTCGTCCGCTTTCAGCGCGCCTGCTCTCTGAATTCTCCATCCGTGCAGACTCGCATGTGGGAGTCGACAGCGTAAACATTGAAATAATGAGTCATGAATCTTCAAACGATGTCCTGTGTCCAAACCCCGAGTCTGTAACTTTGACAGCCATCAAAACACCTGCCACCCATCCGTCCCTGGAACACATTCCCTTGGCGAACATATCAGGCCCTAACTCCAATTCCCGAGATCTCCAGTCTCCTCCCCATCTTACCGTGAGCTTCTTCGCAGGGTCTATTGAACACGAGATTGACCCGGATACAATTGTGGCGGTGCTAGAAACCCAAGAGATACTTCTGCCATCATCTGTGCAGGCCGATACAGCCAAGACTCCCTTTCGGGCGCTGACAAATCCTATCGTAATTTTGCCACACAACACAGGCCCCGTGATTTCTGGGTCATCGTCGTCGCTTGCATCTGACGTTGCTCAGACGAATGTCGAATTGCCATTCGCTCTACAGACGCAGACACCACCAAATTCTCTCATTTGGCAACCCGCAAGTGTTACAGATTCGCAACTCGAGTCACCCACGGCCGCAACTGCCCACTCTTCACTCGTTGTCCCGCCACCAACTTCCGGACTTTGTGACCGAAATCCACACCTTCTCGTGGCTGATAGAACCTCTGCCGGAACCGCTTTGCGCGCAGATACTCATTCGTCCTTGCGGCTTCCATTCAACACAGCAATGACGCTTCCAGACGACAGCCGACAAACCGATCAATCCGCATCTTTTTCATCTTCTGCTATGGACTCTCTCTCTTACATCCTCTTCTACACCGAACTCCCCACGGAAGTCAGCACACGAACTTCGGGAATGCACCTCCGCAGAATATTGCCAACTCTCACGGTTACAATACCTCTCAGGATCCATCTGCACATGCCCCAACCATTCAACCCCACCGTGACGCGAACCCAATCCAACATTCCTCTCAGCACTCTCCTACCTCTACGCCTGATGGTACCACACTCCTTGACGACAACACTGACCCAGCTGCTGCTCAACAGCGAGTTCCAAAGTCCCAAAACCTTTTCAGGCAAGGACATCCGCCGTCTACCAGCCTACCTCACTCGTCTCATCTTTCTCAGGGACAACGAGTGATTTCATCACAGGCCGCACTGCGCACACTGCTCGCCACTCGCGACAGGCACTATATATTACTTGACCCTCTTCGGAGGCAAACTCAGCCAATCAGTCAACACACGCCCTCTGCATCTGTAGGTTCGGAAAATCTTCACCGTCATCAGTGTCAGGATGGGTCCAGCAGCCCAGCTCCCCAATGCCTGTCCAGCCAGGGCAACGCAGCTGCGGACGATATGCAGCATCTGCCTCAGCTCCTACCAACTTCTACGCATCGCCATGCCGAAACAACCGACAACAATTCTACCCGGACTTCCCCAGAACCTTTCTCGCTGTCCTCAGAAGAACATCCCACACAGCCAAATTTTCAATCTGTCACCCCAACTGCCTCCCCCCGTCTTCCTCGTCAACAAAAAAACACTCCTCCCAAGGCACAAAACGCAAAGCTATGCCTTCGGGACATCCGTTAAAATTGGAACGATACAGAGAAGATTAGCATGGCCCCTGCGCAAGGATGACACACATAAATCGAGAAATGGTCCAAAT